AGAAATTGAAAAGGCGGCGACTCGGGAATTCGAATCATGGAGAATACACGTGAATGGGGAAAAAATTCCCTTGACGCCCGAGTTCATGGCGAAGGTGGTGAGGAAACGCAATTTCTTCAGTAGTAAAAAAATCCGACACGTCAATGGCAAATATCTCGCGGAGCCAGGCGGAGAGGGGTTCGTCGAACTATGGACCGAGACCCAAGAAACCATCAAAGTTCCATACCTAGAAATGGACTTCTGGAATCACCTACTGAGCTTCATCCTCGAGGGAATGGAGTTGAGGACAGACGACGGCGTTCTGAGGGCAACCATGTCTATTCCGGATGCGTATCATTTCATCAACCGAAACTTGAAAATAAAGCCGGGCCTCGAGGTTTTCAATCCAATAGACCAAGAATTCCAGACCTTGGATCTACCAGGATTGGACAAGGTCCTAAGATACGAGCGTCGACTCAAGGTTGCGTGGGAAGATCAGTGGCTTCCGGTGTCGAAGGAATTCCTGGAGTACGTCAGTCAACGTATCGACTTGGCTACTAGGAACGCACCGATGACCTCCGACTCAGGTCTGAGACGTTTCGATGCGCCAGCCGGCTTTGATGCCTTGAAATTGAACCAGGACGGCTTGCTCCTGGTGACACCGAAAATGGAGGCAATGGAAAGAGATAGGTGGGTTAGGCATCCTGCTGAATGCCTACAAGTGTGCTCTCGAAGTCACGCTCCGAGCGACGCTCACGGGACTCCGCAGATATTTTTTAACTCCCGGCGTAGCAGAACGAATGTCACGGAGATATTATCGATCAGGGTGTTCGTGATATGACTCTCCGAGATCTTTCCAGACCTGTCTTCACGGTCAGTTTCTTCCATGTACATGGATATTGTTACGGCTTGACATCGTGTGACGAGATACGGGCGCATGGGATGTTGAGGTAACCGGACGGGGGACCGTTCGTCCTTCATAACATCCTTCATCTAGTAGATACGTTCTTTTCCTCCTGTGTGTACGTGACACGAACATTTCCTGCATCCAGATTCACCATGAGTGGGCTCCACGGATACGAGAAAGAAATAGACTGGACACAAACAGAGAAGCCCGAGCTAGATCTCTCAGCTCAAGCAGTGGAGAATTTTTGTACGTCGAAAGGAGAGCGTATGGAAGGAAATTTCGTTTACCACACGATCTTGGGGGATTGCTAAGCCTCCGGATTCTCATTCCAGACTCAAGAAACGTGAATTACACATCAACCAAGGGGGAATTGGGTAAATATTGCCTACCGCTGATCGATGGCGATGAGCACCATTTGACGAATCAGTATTTACTCCACGGCATATATCTCGAGATTTAGTAAGTGTAATAGATGAGGGAGTAGTACCCGAAATGCCTATTCACCTAGGGATTCGAAACTGAGATTTTGGGGAAACTCTGAAACCCTCTCTATTCTCAGCGACGAACACAGAAGTCTCCTGAGCTGGATGCAGAAAACTCTCGACGTTGCCAGGACGCTCAACTTTGATAGTTCGTTGCATCTCGGCTTATCCTCGTGCACCTCTGATCTCACGTGACTAGGCACACGGAACAGATTTTTCGATTCCGCCTATTTTTTGAATGATTCAATCCACAGCGAACATCAAAGATTGGATCGTACAGCGGCAAAATAGGAAGACGACTTCCAGATCGGATCTCCAGGCGACAATAGGCTCACTATATCGTACTTCTCAGCGAGTCATGCTGACCTGCCGGTCTATCGATAAGGGCGAAGAAGCTCTAGCAGCTATAACGTTTTGCCTGAACAGAGAATACAGAATCACAGACTGTCGAGCGTAAGACACATTCTAAACCTGCTATCCATAATGACTCTCGACGATCCTTGATGCTCCCATTGATATGAGTTCGATATCCGCAGCATGGGCTCTTGCGACGAGTCATTCTTCATCGTTCCACCCCAGGAGAACCCTTTCGCTCATCTGGCCAGAGAAAAGTTGTAATCGAGTGAGTCGGGAATTCGCGGAAAGCGGTCAATGAAAGGAGGGTTTCAACGTGATCCTAACATGTACTCCATTCCAAGGGGAGTGTCCATGTATCGGTGGCTTATGACTCTGGGAAGAGCTTAGGCGGTGAGCTGGATGAGGAATTGCAGCGATTCTCGCGATGGCAGGCAAGCCCAACAATATAACGGAGGAAGTTCCTCCCGGTACCTCACCCCAGCTTCGTATTCGATAGTTCTTCGGAGAACGGTCTGGTGGCCGAGCCTGATTCATAAGATGTGTTCCGAGCCAGCAAAAGTTCATCGCATGACGATACCTTGCTGGAAACCGGCAAAGCCAGTCGCGCGCGAATGGTCGGTGGGCGCGAATATCGCGGAAAAGCAAGGAACCCCTCCTCAGGAGCCCTGAGTCGGAAGCCGGCTAGGACTCGGACAACAGAGCGCAAAACGGGCGCTCGGGAAATTTCGGGCCTCAGCAATGGAATGTGAATAAGGATCTTATTTGTTCTGCGACGTAATATCGCTGGAATCGCGACGTGTCGCGTCAAGGAAACTCGAAATTCCCAGCAAACCCTGAAGTTCCCTCAAAACCGCGGGAAAGCGCGAGATTTGCTCCGGATTCGCGGCAAGAGCGGGAAAACGAATGGGCTTTGCGAGTTCAAAACTTGTGGCGAGCCTAGATCCGGCCGTGTCTCCGAGCTCGTGGCCAAGCTCAAGCAACGACCGGGTCTCACCATGCCTCTTGATATTCGGAACACCTTCGTTTCTCAGACCTTGAATCGCTGTTTCCACGAATTTCGGGGTCGCCATTCGATACGACCTGATTGGGGCCGTCTTCGATTGCCCAGATTGGCAGCTTTCGGAAAAATTCGGAGCTGTCGACGTGGTATGGCCGAGAATCCCCACCGAGAATAGGATAGCAAAGAGCCGATGAGATAGGATCGCCGATAATCACGGCAGCCCATCCGGCGGCCTCGGCCGCATCATTTTTTTCTCAATATCCATAAGGTATTTTATATGCCGGGGCAGGGACACAGGACTTACTTACTCACTTATTTATACGGTCTCCTTATGAAGCTCGATGTGATATCTGAGGCAGTCAATTGATAGAAATCCCCGATATCCGCCTCCGAGGCAGGGGTTCCCGACCGGCGCCGGCGACTCGAGGACCTGGGCGACGCGAGGCCTGTCTCAGGGAGGGGGCGGAGACGAATGATTTTCCCATGTGGTGACAACATGAAATGGCGGATTCCGAGCAGCAACAGAAAGCCGACGCCGGTTGCGCAAACGAGACCACAGTTCATGGGACCGGAAGTCGTCTCTTGTTTTTTGTCATTCCAAACTCTCTCTAAATCACAGGCTTGCATGTGAGGAGTTCTTGGAGAAGCAAGTCGCTCGCTTAAGAGGCTCAGAGTGGATGAAATTTTGATCTTGAGCCAAGGTGGAGAACCGTGCATATGTATCTCGCACCAGCCGTCGAACGGGTCACTAAACGCGGGTATGGAGAACGATATCCGCCCTGGTGAAATCCGTGCCTTTCGAACCACAATCGAAGTACAGCGTACCTTAGTACCCTATAGTACCACATGAGTTTCGAGGGCACATAGTAGGGTTTTTCGACAATCATTTGGCGGAGGGGTGGAGGATGATGAAAAAACATCAACTTGCACACCGGGGGTTATCCAACAAGCGCCGAATCACATGTGCGCCGAAATTGTTGGGGAGAAAGAGTCGAAAAACGGCTCGTAAACGATTCTATAGGGGGAATATATGGGGGGAATAGATCGGGACTTCATCGCGCGTGGTCCGCAAATCGGCCTTGTGATTCGGAGGAGGGTTCAAAAGACGAAAGGTCGGGAACAACTGCTTCAAGGTCTTCCTCGAGATCTGGAGAGGGATCTTTCCATCTCGACATTATTATCGAATGGTGTACCCGACGTTCCCGAACGATAAGTTCGGGGGTCGCTTGACCTTCACCATGTAGCAATGGAATTTTGGAATACCGCAAGATTCGGCGGAATCTCTCGAGGATAAGTCTGGAGCGCTTTCAGGGATAGTGGAATGAATCTGTATTACGGGAGCATCGATGGCATCACGCGTGTCGAGCTCTCTAATCGGCATTGATTGTTGAGCGCAGCAGCATCGCTCTCTGAAACGAGATCTCGCATGACGTCTCTTTCCCGATTCCCTTTTAGACCACATATTCGTCTTGCCGCCGCCCGAGACGAGGCGGGCCGTGGCATACTGAGCGCAGAAAGACCCGTGAAAACTGATCGAATCGGATCCGACATGAAGTCAAGCAAAAGAGAGCAATATTCGACCAAATTCTATTCTAGTCAACATTCTACTTCCCGGTGGAACCCTTGTGCAGCCTTCAAACTCCATTCCGTAAAATTTCCTCCCTTAGACATGCGCGAACGCGCCGGTCCTCCGAGACTCCGCTGATACAAGACATCGTCCAAGCTTAGGATATCGACGTCCCGATGGAACGTCTGGACCAAGAGAGCATCTGGGTGGATCCGAAATTCCAGGAATCAGGGTCTCTCCTCTCAGTCGCCTGGAGGTCTCCCGCCAGGAAACTCGAGCCTCTGCTCCATGATCCTGATTCCGATCCCGTAGAGTGGGCGAAACTGTTCAAGGAGAACTCGGCAATCTGACGAGCTCCCCGATAGGTCCCGCCCCTCGTCGATGCATCTGGCGAGCTCACACGGAGAGTAAGCTATCGCGGAAGTACCGACAGTATGAATTATGATCGGCCGCTCTTTCACACTCGACCCGCTGAACTGAGCGAGGACCAACTCGATCCCTCTCCTCCCGCCTTAACTCGTAATTGATTCGTCCTATGAATCGGTACTAGCCCTACTAATCTGGAGAGACCGAGTTCCTCGATTCGATCCTGACTTTATTCATGGCTTTCAGTAGGTATTCGAGGTATCTTGTCCCAAGCCCTCTCTGCAGACTCGCAATTGTCAAACAAGTAATCTCCTTCCATACATGCATCCGAAGAATATGACATCAAGATGGCCCACTTGCTGCCGCGGTGCCTCCTCCGCGATTTTGCTGTTTAAGACTGAAAATATAGCTGATGATGTAGGCCTGCACCTCGTCCTTCTGGTCGTCATCGAGCTCGTCTATGAGTTTGGCTATGTACTGACTGAAAGCAGACCCTAAGCTTGACCTTTCGTCGGTCGTCGGCTGCTGAAGAACGACGATAGGACTCGATTGCTGACCTAGAAAGCAGCAAGAAGCTAAATGTCGACTCGCTCAATCTTTAGATCGAAATAGACACCAGATTAGCTCGCCTCGCCCGAACGCCGTCCAACAAGATGTTTACAGAATATGAAAAACCAAACGATCTATTTTTCTAAATCCCTGGGCTCGTAGCGGGCGAGTAAGTCCGGCATCCGATGAGATGTTGTCATGATTTTCTTTGGAAGTGATACCTTTGGCAGAGTTGATCACCTTGACTTTCCCGCCAAGACATTTCTCCAATGCTTTGTTCAGGGGGGAATTCGAGGGGTCCTTCGAGAAAATCTCATCGAGAGCCTTGAAGTGGGGGCTCATCTTGTTTGCCGGAACCGGTTTGTTTGCCATCATCAAAGCTTTCAAAGCCATGTGCTGTTTGCGCATGAATTTGATTTTATTCCCCACCTGCGAAGAAGGAGTGACTCACTGGACGCGGAGCTTCGGACAGCAGAATGACACAGTTATTGGGTGCCCGACGTTTTGTTGTGAACAAGTCCCCAGATAGAAACGCTCGATATTTTCTATGTGCACAATACTAATTAATGAAGAAGTGTGCTGAGTGACGTGGGAAGCAGAACGATGGTCCTCTTCAATGAATTCTGATCACATCCAATGGAGCCAAACTCAGATCCCCTCAAAATGCCAGAACAGCGGAGCGCGGGCCCCAAAGACCAAATAAATCATTTGGAACCGACTCGAAAACAGTTTAGCCCTAAAAGAATGGTTCGTAGCATGGTTCGCGCGAGCCAAACAGCGGAGACGGCTGCTTTGGCGGCGCGGCGTTTCGACATGAGACTGATCACGTATGCCATTCATTCGCTGAAGGCGCTCGTAGTGAGCCCCCAAAGCGTAAACATGCGGATTTATGAAGTGTTTTGTCTGCGGCTCGGAGACGGGTCTCACGCAAGCTTTAATCGGAACAATAGTGCTTCCTGTTGTTGTTTATCGTCTATAAGTACGTCTGCGAGAGCGTGAAAGCATCTCGAGTCCCGAATGAACCCTTCTCTTTGTTGATTGACCTCACAAAACGATTCTCCCGGAATCTCGGCCCTTTCTCTTCCAGATTGCATTAAGAAATATCCTTCTGATGATCTATGGCTGATAATACCGTGGACGCATTACTCCTATCGAAAAATCCCAAAACGTGAGCTCTTGGACGCGGTCACGCGTTCGTCTCTATTCACCATGAACTGATTCGGAGTCACATGCTCGCTCTACTCCTCCATTCAGCCGCTCTCGGAGGGCTGGTTCGCCGAATCTATGGCCTACTGTCTGCAGACTATGGTTCCTAGACGCGTCTCTTATCGAGCAAAACCTTTTATCTATCGGTTTGCCGCAATAACCTCGACGTATCCATCTCAGCGATTAGCCAACCGTCACATCTACGGTGACACTCTGTGCAGAATCGTCAAGTTCAAGAGAAGCAACCGATCGGCCCATGACGATGAGCGCCGAACCGGCAGACACTAGGAGATATTCGCTCTCCTATCCGCTACAAGACCCTCAAACGGAGGCATCCCAATTTGGATTCTGCCGTGACGGAACGGACGTTTACAGCCAAAATGAAACACATCCAATGTCGTTGCAACGAATCCCTAGCCGCTCGAACATAGACTCGTATAAGTACCTGCTCGCCGGTCACAGCGACTCCAGTCCGAGATCGAACTTCTTCTGCGACGCGCTCATAAACTTTCTTCTTCTGCGCGGTATTCCCGGCTTCTTTCGTTGCTGTCACGAATCGTTCGACCATGATGCTTATTAGTTCTGAAGTCCACATGAGCATCGCCCGATCCGTTTCATCATCTAGGAAAATGAAGAAAAAGAGATCGGAGCTCTTCTAAAAATTACGATCGACTAATTGAAAAGGTCCTGGATCTTATTCTTGTCTTCTGAATCCTTCGCTCTGCGACATAACTCACGCGCGCCGGGTGACGATTGACTTGTTTGGGCTCCAATCGTGGGCGTGGGCGGGGTCCCGACAGACGCTGTGGGAGGTTGCTGAGTCTCTTGAGTCCGCAAATATTCTGATGAAGTCTCCATCGGAGGGGCGCCACAGGTGCCAGCCGCTTGGTTGTCGACCACTGACGGGAACAGGCAATTCAAATATTAAGTCGATCAGCGATACCAGAGAGAGCCATCAGGGAGCACCCACGGTGAAGTATGTCTCGGAAGATATCGTATATATGGGTCAGATTTCCGGAATTGACCACGATCTCAAGGTCGGTAATGACGCGTCTAGATGGCCGAGAACAGACTCGGCTCTGCATAATCGTGGCGGACATTGTTAGATACACCAGCCGCCGACAGAAACTCGCTCCCAAAAGCTCGATAAGGTAAGTTGGGGCCTCATCATCTATTATTAGCTAACAACGGGAAACTGGCTAAACGCTCGGCTGCTTCAAGCATTCTGAATCGGACCCAGCCCGAATTAGGCGGAACATCATACTCGACGGAAAAAAAACGTAGGTCTCTCTTGTCAGTCCCCAAGCCAGCGCGTTATATCGAGCGCGACTCCCCTCAGTCAACCTGCCCTGATGAATGCTTTTGCCGTCTCGGATCATGATCGGAGGGAGCAGCCTATTAGACAGCGGAATGAGTGAAGAATTATTCCTTCCACACGCAGGATGAAAAGACCTTCCGCTTCAGCACATCTGACTTTATTGATGGAAAATAGCCCTTTCACTGAGGTGATAGCGGCGCTCTCCCCGATGTCACGGGATTGACCATTCTACGCATAACATTCACAATCTATTTACAGGAATCGGTTTGTTTTTCATCGCGGGAAACTGTTCTCCAGGATCGCCGCCCTTCCAGTTCAAGGCACTCTCACAGGTCTCATGACAGGCAGAGAAAAATATGGCGTCATTCTACCTCGACAATGGATCAACTTTCTGTATGTGATATTTTGAGCCAAAAATTTAGGTTCTCGAGTTTCTGAGTCCCTCTCGAAAAGTTGCATGGATTGCCTCATACAGCCGACTCCAGGATTATGGCGTTCCGAAGGTCCGCTGATTGATTGGTCATTGATTCTGTGCATCGTAGTCAGAAATATATCGTTGATTTCGTACTTCCCAATGTATTCATCTCCGCGAACTGTGGTTGATGTGAGCAGAGTATTCTTCGACCAATACCATATTGGATAGAATCTCATGAAGTGCTACTCGAAGTGAAATAGCGTGAATTCTTCTTGGACGATCCACGTCAGTCGACGGCCTCGAGTTGCTTCCGCTTTTGACAAAAGATCACAGAAACAGAATATTCGTCGACGACGAGACTGATTCTTCGCGCGACCACCGTAAGACGAAACACGCTTGATCCCGTATACGTGATATATATACGGAACCGCGCATCGACTTATTCGTCCACGCAGAAAGCGCTGTCTCAGTCTACACGGGATGCATTGTTTCCGAAAACCCGTCCGACTCTCATCGCGTGAACGAGTTTTCCGTAGTTTTCATATCTATACACCTGGTCTCACTTTTCGAGCTAACGCTGATAGTCGGTGGTCAAGCGACCTGAATCGGGGCTGAAGGTGGCGTGCAAAGAGACCCGGTCACCACCAAAGCTGTGACGATGATGATGATGATGATGATAATCGTGCTCGATGAACTTGACTTCCTCCGTTTTAACAGTAACTCTACCAACGTGCCAGGCGTAATAAATTCTGCGTGCTGCCGCTGCTGCTGACATCGTCCTCGGAGCCGAAATGCGCTTCCATCACTGCTGCGTGCAGAGTCCAACATCGACAGGTGGAAAATGACTAAATTACTTGAGTTCCTCTGCGTAGTAGCGCTTTTTGAGCGTTCTGTACTTTTTGAGCATGTAGAGAGCCTCGAGCTCCTTCGTCACGTAGACGGCTCGCGCTAACAACGTTTCTATTTGTTGAGGGTCGGAAACATCACGATTTTTCAAAAAAGCGATCTTGCAGCGATCCCGAAAGTATTCGTATCCTTTTGGGAAATCCTTCCCGAGATGGAGAAGATTCTTATAAACTTGCTTCACTGATAACGGCTGGGGTGATGCCTGATTTTGGTCCTCGGGCGACTGTGTAGCGGTAGAAAAAGTTCTCACATGATGATAGCGGCCCGGCTTCACATTCAGAACGCGGAGCGCGATGCGGAGCATTGTTGCAGTGCTATTGGCGTTCCGGGAAAAATCACAGAAAGTACCGAGGTCACTCAGCCGCTGTCTATCGCAGAGCCGCCGCCTGGTTGCTATTTTCAAATCAACTGCGAGCGCAACGAAAGTACCAGCTGATGTTCCCTGGCGGTGGTTGCCGCGCCACCGCGAGACAGGATTCCAGTAGCGCTAAACTTCACAGAAACCGTCTACACTGTTCGATTTTTATCATCGGTCCCAGAGACGCAAACGGTTACAGCGAAATCTCGAGATGAAATTATGTTACACGGCGGCTCCAAGGCAGAGTCACAGACTGCTTTGGCCTGGAGGAGAGTGGTAAGGACACACCACGAGCGACGTTGTTGTTGATGGTGGTGATGATGGTATTCGCACGCACGCCGCTGTCGTCTTCTATTTTCGCTGCTGCGTCCGTCGTTAAACGCCGTGATCGTTGTTGTGTGTCCGTCTTTTTTTTCACGTCGTCCCGCGGACCGCGCACATACTTTGTTCAGGGGCTGGTCTCAGCTCATCAGGCTCGGTGCTTATCGATTCCGGAGTACGCGGAAGTATGACGGCGACAGGCATTCTACGAATCGTTTTCAAATTTTCGGGGAGCAGCACTTCGACCTGAAGTGATCTCTTTCTTTTGTGCTCCTCCGATCGCCCGCTCGCGCCAGGACCGTCACTTGGAGGTCTTTAGGAGCGCCTCTGTGTTTTGTTCGAGCATACACCAGCCTGCCGAGGGCTCCGCGGGGCGGTTTGGTAATCGAACGGCGGAAAAAGTCCCTCGCTGGATGCGAATCGTGTCCGAGATCTCCGAGTGTTCCGAGCGAGTGAAGTGGTTCGCATGAGCGAGAATACACGCTAGGATTCAAGTGCAGAACGTCGAGCAGAGCCGCGTAAATTGGCAAACTCAACCCTGAAGAACGCCAAACATGAATCGTGCAACTTCCGAGAGAGAGGCCAATAGCAGGAAACGTCGGCTCTGTGCCTACATGCACAGGGTGTGCCAACTGCCCAGGATCGCCGGTAGGAAATACTGTCTGCGGCATATACTCGAAGACCGCGATTCGCCTTACAAACAATGTCATTACACGCATCCGACCACGCAACGGAAATGTCGGTACCCAGCGGCGAAGACCGACAGGCGCGAGTATCTCTGCAAGCTACACGTGAATAAGAACAAGAAGAACGTCAAGCGAGTGATGCCGCTGAACGAGACTCCTCATAAAGTTTTCGAAGCGCTCGAGATCTATTGTCAGAAACCGGAGCACAACGCTCAGATGGCAACGACGTCAAGGTCGACTCTGAAGTTCTTCGATCCTGACAGTGACCAGGAACCGCCGACCATTGAGAATTGTTACATTTACGACGGCGACAGCGACGCCGAGAGCGTCGACGACGATATCACCGACTCGAAGAAAAACGCGGGCTATTACGCCGGCGAGGAAGCGGCGAAAATAACCCTCGAGAAAATGCAGCGTTTACAGACCCTGTATCTCGAGCAGTTCCAGAGACTCCGCTACGTGTACGAGGAACGTAAACGTGATTTCTTCTACCAGAAACAATTCGAAAAGGGCAATATGGGCAAGGAGTTCACGAGCCCCCGCGACGAGCGCCTCTATCGACGTTACGTGGCGTACAGGAACTACCGTCGCGCTCACGGCATCGAGGCTATACTGAAGCAGAAAATGAAACAGAAGAGGCGGGCCATGGAAGAGCAACGGCCGTATCCACCACCCAAGTCTGCAGAAGAGATTTGCGTGTTCGATGAATGCCGGAAAGTACGGATTCCGTTTTCGGAATATTGCGTTAGACACATACTGAACGATACGCAGCAGAAGCTCTTCAAAGCTTGCGGAGTCGACGGTTGCTCCCAGCCCGTGTACAGAATCCGTGGGCGGGATACGTGTCCGGAACACGTGCCACTCGAATTCGACACCCAGAAACTTGTCGAGGAATCGTTGCCCGAAGGCGTCGAGATCAAGGAAGAGCCCCGGGAACGTTTCGACGGCATTGACGACCTCGCCGCTCTTGGCCTCGATGCCGTGGACCCGGGGAGTCTTTTCGGTCTCAATCAGAGTGGTAAGGATCTACGAATGCTTCGAAATTTTCATAATGTTCCCGGCTAATGCTATCTCCAGCCCATAAGGGTACGCTTGGGAGCGGATTCAGTGGAGATGATATAATGTTTCTTCCTCCTCAGGTATATCTGTGACCGCTGGCGGTGACGAATCAACGGACTCCGCCACGTCCGACAACGGACTACCGACAGATATCGCGCTCTACGATGAGGATCTCTTCAGTCCTCAGCCGGGACCGAGTCGGATAGGAGGACTCACTCATGGCTTGAATGAATGAAGTTATCAGCAATGTCATCGGGACAAAAATGTCCATGTACCATTCACGAGCAGAGCCGATCTTGATTGGATTCAGCTAGATTTCGATCCCTGTACAGACGTGAAATACGACGCGGATACCGCAATTGGAGAGGAATACAATCCTCTGAGAGGAAAGATCAGAGTTTTCGGGATCGTCGCGGGGAATTGCCGTAATGATCCAGTTTGTAGATCACCAAGTGGTACGAAAACATTGATAGGACTCTCTAAGGCCGAAGTGACCGATCTCTGAATGTATGCTCCTTCATCCGGGTCCGGAGGGAAATCTCCAAGCACTGGTCGAATCATGACGCATATAACTTGAACATGAGGACCTCGGGAATTGTGATATATCAGAATAAATTCTGAGTTGAACTCGACCTTTCCTAGTCGTCAGTAAGTCAGTTTATAGTGTGCCAGCTCATCTGCACTGGCGACGGATCGAGAAACAATCGATTTCGAGTCAGAAATCGGAACGTGTGTCCGAAATTTTTCATCTCACCGCTGCTGGAATGATCCGGTGCGGGTTGGGAACATTGTTGTGAGTGAGAAGTCACTTCGGACAAGCTGCCCTTGAAGCCGCAACCTCCGCAGATGTAGACGGTCTGAAAGCAACAGAGAACAAGACATACGCTTACATGTACGGGATCACGATCCGGACATTTCCTGTGAAACTCCTTCTCCGTCTCGAATGGCGAAACGATGCGTAGTCCGGACAAGGGTTCATCCCCCAACTAACGAACGCTCTTCCGAATCGAGGTATCCGAATAGAAACTCGATTGACAGAAAATTGAAATTTCCCCCCGACATCGGTCCGTGGAAATCTATCAGAGTGGAGAAAGTCAGGAAATTTGAACTCTCGGAAGCCGTCTTGGGTGAGAGACTAGAACGCCTAGGGTGAAGCAGTCCCCGTACATGATCTGTAGAAATTCGATCATCTCCTCAATCCCGTGGCGTCAAAAGCCCGGGCAAAGGAAATATTCCTTCGACGCTACCCGGCGGCTGGTCACGGAGCGCTCCGGCTCCAGGACGATGCAGCCAATGCTGCGCCAGAAGCAATTCAGACTCACCAATTGGTGTGAGGATTTGAGCTCTGCGTTTTGATATGAGCTCATCCTGCCGATAATCGACAATTCTTTCACGGAGTTTCTTTTTCGCGGTGGAATAGTTACAATTTCAGAACCCCCCCGGAGAACCGAGAGATCAAAACAGACTTCGAGGGAGAGGGCGGCGCGGCTAATGGCGGAAGCCGACTGGATTGTATCAGAGGACGAGCGACCCGATCAGGGAGTTTCGGGGAAACTCAATGCCTGCTCGATTCCGTTCCGCTACCCCGCTCGCTCGGAGGCCTAAGAGAACGTTAAGGAACGCGGGGCAAGCATCCGCCGTAAGCTGTCTCAAAGGCCACATGGCTGCGCACTGAGGCATCGAGATCCACGCTTGATGATGATGACGATGATCTCCTCAAGCGAACTATCAGAACATGAAGACACAATCCTGCCTGTTTCTTCCCGGCGGGACGAACGAGATGTATGCAGAGAACATGATGTAGTCTTGCCCTGTCATTTTCGGGATCGAACCAGATAACCATGCTTATGAAATTTCGGGCTCTTCAGCTCATTCGTCCGGGATCGGAAATGCGGCTCCTGTGTGCTATGCATATCGCTGCCAGCCTAATGTACAGGCGTTCTCCGGATCCTCCCTGGTGGAAGGCAGTCGGCGTTCGAGAATGTCGCACTCGTTCGCGATCCGAAGGGTTCATTCAGCGTCGCTAGTCCAGCAAAATTCGCCGAGGTGGCGAGTTTTCTCGATCTGGAAGGCTCGATATTTCGTCATGCTCTCACCATGTCTGAACCGGAGATCGGACAATGATCGACAGTCTTAGAATTCCGGGTGATCGGTCGACCCCTGGTCCTTCCTCGGGATGTTGAAACCTTCCATGAGCTACCGAAATCAGAGAACCTTTCGTTTAAAGGCGTCCAGGCAAGCCTTCTTCTGAATTCATAGGCTAGAAACTCCTCTTCGCGCCTCGGACCCCGATGCCTCCTCGTGCGTCACCTCTTCATTCGAGGAAGAGATCCTAGGGCGCTCGTTCCTCGGATCAAGCGTTCTAGCGGTGCCCCTCGGATGTTGATTACTGCATCCCGGATTTTCCAAGCTATTCAAACTCTCGAGCCTGGAGGCCCTCCCAACTTCTCCCAGAAACCAGGGCTCTGAGCTCGCCATAGTTGTCTCAGCTCCTGTACTCGGTGCCCTCCGAACTCGCTGGGGGCACGGAAAAATAGGAATATTCGGTGCGCGTGGAGCCATCCCAATCCCTCATGTCGATAATTGTTCTTTTTTCCGCCCACGCCCTGAATACGGTCAACTATATGGACCGGGCAGGAGAGCGATGTGTGGCACGACCAGGGTTGCCAGCCATGAACTTCTCATAATGAATGGACTCTGCAGATCCGCAACTTCCGCTAAGACGGCACTTTCAGTCGCGGCGGTTCTTCGCGACGAGTTCCAGGAGTTTTCCTGTTTAGGAGAAATGAAGGATCCTTCGTTGTTCGGAAACACGAAGCACTCACGGGAGCTTCAACGCTCACGAGAGCGACCCCAGCAACGAAGCGATTCGGTCGACACGGATCGAGAACGCATACGCGCGCGCGTCCTCGCTTCGAATCTAGCGGGCAGATCCAGCGGTCTGTTCAGGCGTTGGCCGGTCGCAGGTCGTCGCGGAGATCTTACTCCGTTGGAGCCAGGCCTGCTGTCATTGAAGGCTCGGTTGTTCTCAGCGGTTCTTGGTGTTCGATAAGATAATCAACATGCGTGAAATCGTCCATATCCAAACCGGCCAGTGCGGCAATCAAATTGGAGCGAAGGTGAGTTGACAATGCTCGAGAATCGCGGGAAAGTCGTTCTTATGGTAACTGAAAGTCCCGGCCGCGAGTCCATTACGGCCTCACGGGCTTTTCGGCAACGGTGACTCATCCGACGGAGCTCTTTGGGTCGATACTTCTGGCATTGATCAAGTCCCTCAATCATCGGAGTAGTGGGATTGAATGATACTCGATCGGCTTTTTGTTGAGTTACCGGCATGATTGCCTCAGATCGCGCCCATAGTTGCCAAGTCATCACTGGTTGACCTCCCATGAATTCTGGGAGTCTCCCGAGGTCTCTGTTGCAGATCTTATCTCGCGAGGTCTCTGGAAATCTCTCCGAGATACATCTTCAGGCCCGATCCGCGTCGCCTCGATCTTCCTAAAGGGCCGGGATCCTCGATATGGTGTTAGGCCTAGCGAGCCCACGATCCATCCTAGAAAAAATTGTAGAATGGCAATTCTCGATGGAATATTCGTAATGTCATCCTGTTCGACGACGTCGTGGCTTATTCGCAACAGGAGTCGGTGCGTCGCGTTTAAGCATCCCCTTTGGATTCGAGTTTCCCCCTTCGGTCGTCCGTTGCGTGAGTCAGTTCCCAATGATGGGCGCTGCTCGTGGCGAGGTTTCAGTATGACGACCCAATGGCTTGTTTCGGAATCGCTCGAATTCCTCGAACGAGGAGCGATGTTTCGATCTTCTCGCGTTTCACTCTCGGGCGGAAGATGATCGCTCGCTCGGGGGTCACCTCGATCGATGCTACATCTACGTAAGTTTGTGAAAGAACGCGATTCTAAAATTGTGAATTCTCCTTTTTTCAGTTTTGGGAAGTTATCTCCGACGAACACGGAATTGACCCCACTGGAGCTTACCATGGCGACTCGGATTTGCAACTGGAACGAATCAACGTTTATTACAACGAGGCGTCAGGAGGCAAGTACGTCCCAAGGGCGGTACTTGTCGACCTGGAGCCTGGAACCATGGACTCCGTGAGGTCGGGACCATTCGGACAACTCTTCCGACCCGACAACTTCGTATTCGGTCAAAGTGGAGCCGGAAACAACTGGGCTAAAGGACATTATACCGAGGGTGCAGAACTTGTCGACTCAGTTCTCGACGTGGTGCGCAAGGAGGCCGAAGGCTGCGACTGTCTTCAAGGATTTCAACTCACCCACTCGCTCGGAGGTGGCACTGGATCTGGAATGGGCACCCTTCTCATTTCGAAAATCCGTGAAGAATACCCCGATCGTATCATGATGACGTTCTCCGTAGTTCCCTCACCTAAAGTTTCCGACACTGTGGTCGAGCCTTATAACGCGACGCTCTCTGTGCATCAATTGGTCGAGAACACTGACGAGACTTTCTGTATTGATAACGAGGCCCTCTACGACATCTGCTTCCGCACTCTCAAGCTTACAACACCCACCTACGGCGACTTGAACCATCTCGTATCTGCGACCATGTCTGGAGTCACGACATGTCTACGATTCCCCGGTCAGTTGAACGCTGATCTGAGGAAGCTCGCCGTCAACATGGTGCCTTTCCCGCGACTTCATTTCTTCATGCCCGGTTTCGCACCGCTCACATCTCGTGGTTCTCAGCAATACCGGGCTCTGAGCGTGCCCGAGCTGACCCAGCAGATGTTCGACGCAAAGGTGAGCTCTTTGAGTGGAAACGCCTTTTCCGTTTTTAGCTCATGGTTCCTCTAAACGACCTCATTCTCATTGGGGATTTGTACGGAATCCTGTCATATAGCAAATCGGAATCTGATTCCGGTTAGAACCCCCCCCCGCGCGCAATTTCTAATTTCGACCTCCTCGCAGAACATGATGGCGGCTTGCGATCCCCGTCACGGACGTTATCTCACCGTCGCCGCTATCTTCCGTGGACGCATGTCCATGAAGGAAGTCGACGAGCAGATGCTAAACGTACAGAACAAGAACTCATCTTACTTCGTGGAATGGATCCCCAACAATGTGAAGACCGCTGTCTGCGACATTCCTCCTCGAGGACTCAAGATGTCTGCCACTTTCATCGGCAACTCGACCGCCATCCAAGAGCTGTTCAAGAGAATCTCGGAGCAATTCACTGCCATGTTCCGCCGAAAGGCTTTCCTCCACTGGTACACGGGCGAAGGCATGGACGAGATGGAGTTCACAGAGGCTGAGTCCAACATGAACGATCTCGTTTCTGAATACCAGCAGTATCAGGAGGCCACTGCCGACGACGAGGGCGAGTTCGATGATGAGGAGGAAGAGGTGCAGGCCGAGTAGGGAGACGAAATTTGTCGTCATCAGAATGCGGACGGCTTCTGAACCTACAGCTTCTCTAGTGAAGAGGTTACCGAAAAAAAAACAGCCGCCTTTCAATGAGCCGCTGCCGTTCATCCCCAGGCTTGTGTTCAGTAATGGTCTCTGTACATAAAGGGAAAAAACGTCGCTTGCTGTCAATTCTGAAGCAGTTTTAGTAAATTTGCTGGCTCGACGGCCGCGGCTTTTCGCAATTAGCACCCACGTTCTTCAATATTTCGTTCTGTACGGAACCTCAATTTTCCTCTATCGATACCATAGACACGAATAGGACCGGCATCAGCTTTCGAGGAAAAATGACTGTTCGTTCCCCGAGCAGCTACCTTTACCCATCAGAAAAAGCGTCGCGATGTTGACAATCACGTCTGCGGTGCTTTTACGGAACTTGAATTCATGATCCGGTTCATTCAGTCTGTGCTTGAATTTAATTTATTCCGGAATTCACCAGACTTTCCATTCAGAGCTGTTCTTCCCTCACAAAAAAAACTGTTCCTTTTTCACTTTGACTGGATCTTGCAGAAACTTCTGCGAGCGAACTGCGTAGCCTTTCCATTGGTTCATAATAGAGAGAAATATCGACGATCAGAGTTCGCCTCAACGAACGGCTACTCGACCAATCAGAATGTCGTCAGCCCAGCTACGCTGGCTTCGCACACTCGATTCGAAACCAAAATTGTAATCTCTCTCATCGTCTCTTCTCTCTGTAGGGTGGACGATTTAAAATAAATTCTATTGTTGACCCCGCTAATGCTTGACGTCATCAATCCGTTGATAGATTTGGGTCCCGAGTCTCCTACTGTCCAGCTTGGTGAGACCGCTTCGAGTCGGGTGGAATTCAAGTAATTCGCGTATGATTCCTATAGTGAGCAGATTTCTCAAAATGGCGAGCCGGATCGCGATAGGCCCTCCTACTGTCCAGCTCGGTGAGACCGCTACGAGTCGGGTGGAATTCAAGTAATTCGCGTATGATTCCTATGGTGAGCAGATTTCTCAAAATGGCGAGCCGGATCGCGATAGGCCCGCCAAGAGGGCTCCTGCTGTCGATGCTCTCTTTTGGTATCCCTGCGTCTCCAGCGGCGTACCGTGATTTGTCAATTACGTTTTTCAATGCTGTGTTCCCAGTCCTACCGATGAGGAACTCATCAGTTCTTTCAATAGCGCGCCTCGATATCGGGGTTCTTGCCGGCGGAGTCCCCTCTTGACGTTGAATATTTGAGAAAAAGTTTCCGAGTATGCGCCAGACATCGAGGTGATAGTTCTGAGACAGCATTCCCACTCCGTAGATGGGAATGATGGATTTTTGAGCGTGGTCGTGTCCAAGGGTGGGGTTCTCACCGATGGGCGTTGGCTCCCGTCGAATTCTTGGGCGCTCGTGTGTCGCTTGTGTTTGTTTCACCGAGGGCACCTATAAGACCCTCTCCTAAACTTTAGCAGTACGGATGAATGTTTCAGAGGGGGGGGGGA